CATGTAGCTGACTTGGGTTCAATCTCTATGACTCCATATGGTCCTGTGAGCACACCAGGAGTGATTCCTGAGATCAGAGCCAGAAGTAAGCCCTGATCACCGCCAATTTTGCCCAAATTATAGTGGTTATAGATCATTTAAGTTTTCTTGTTTGTGCTTTTCTATACTTTCCAAACAATTTTAAAATAAATGAGTAATGTTATTTTTCATAACAAGAATTGAAGCTCTCAAATAAAGATACCTATTTTCTCACATTTCTGCTAAAAGCTACAAAATATTCCACTTTTCTCTACACAGCTTTAAGTGTACTGCAGCTTAGGGCTTTATTTAATGCTGTATTGATGGCCTGAAAAAAATGTAAAGGGAGTATATGTAAAACCATATTTTGAACAACACTTAGAGTTCATTTTCATAAATGCCCTGGCATTTCTGAACCAATATACTTCTTTGTTCACCTATTCTCTTTTAATACCAAATTATAAAGCTCAGTGGCAAAGAGTGTGAATAATTCATTCCTCCCTTGAAGTACTTTCCATTTTTCAAAGTTTTCTCAAGATCTGCTTCACTTTGGCATAGAAGGATTTTGAACAACTTAATCTCTTGTCTTATGAAATACTTTTCTACACTAGTGTTCTTTCTAAATGCTCATTTTCTGCTACTTTATTTTTTCTTTTTAAGCGAATCTCCTAGACTTTTGTTTGTTTGTATGTGTGTGTCAATTCAGTCATACTCAGGGCTTACACCTAGCTCTGTGCTCAGGGATCATTTCTGGTGGTCTTTGGGGGTCTTATGTGGTGTTGTGGATAGAACCCAGGTTGACTGCATGTAAGGTTGACTGCCTTACCCACTGTACTATCTCTCCAGTTCCTAAGCTTTGACTTTTAGCACCTTGATCTGCTGACTTCTTTTTAAGTATAACAGATTTTATTTGGACGTTATTGAAGGGAAGGAGGAAGAGAAAGTGGGAGAGAGTGGAGAGTAACATGCTTAAGAGAGAACCAGGCTTCTCCAAGGGTGGAGAGAGCCCTACACGCAACTCAGCATTAGACATGAAAGCATGAAAGTACACATCTCGGGGCTGGAGCAATAGCACAGCGGGTAAGGAGTTTGCCTTGCACATGGCCAACCTGGGTTCGATTCCCAGCATCCCATATAGTCCCCCGAGCACTACCAGGAGTAATTCCTGAATGCATGAGCCAGGAATAATCCCTGTGCAATGCTGGGTGTGACCCAAAAAGCAAAAAAAAAAAAAAAGTATACATCTCAAGAGAGGAGATTTGGGCAACACAAGTTCTCAGGCACCACATGTGCTCGGCCACATGGGCACAAGCGGCACATGGGCTCGGGCAGCATATGTGCTGCTGACATTCTTTTCTGCCTTCCTCTTTTCAATAGTCCACAGAATGCAGGTGGATGGAGAAGGAGTGGGTGTGCCAATAATCAACAAATCGGGTTGTGAAACACTCATATCAGTCCTGCGGCAGTCCTTTCAGGGGCTCTTGACCTGTCATATAGATGCTGAAGCTGTGTGTCACAGGCTGGGGTGCAAAGGAGGAAGAGACTAGACACAATGTGGCCAATTTTCCTCAGTAAGAGTTTCCTGCTCCCTGGTGGACAGGACCTCCATCCCATCCAGTTCTCCCCCCACCCCCTACCCCGGAATGGCCCAATGCCCCTTTCCTCTGGGTCAGACCCTGGGTATACCACAGAGCACCCAAGGAAGAGACAGGTCCCCAAAGCCTGGCTGGGAGTTGTGTCCTGGTTGCACAGACTCTCTCTGCAGCTGGCTCTCGACTGCACAGACTGGATCCAAGGACTCTCTCCGAGACTCTGCTCTGCTCGTCTCTGCCACAGTTGCTCCATGAGTTTTCCCTACTTGCCCACCAACATCTTATCCAATAGAATCCCGCCCCGCCCCAACACCCACACCCACATGAGCCTCCAATGTCAAGAAAAAGAGCAGTGTTCGGGGTGGCATTGTCCCATCCCCACCCCACTCTCCGAACCAAAATAGTTACCAAAAATAGTCATCTTTCAAACACTCTTAATCTTTTTGAAAAGAATTAGAGCATTATTCTTGGGCTTGTTACTCTGGGGGAGATCACAGAAGTCTATGTTGGAATTTCCTAGTGCTAAGGAAAAAACATTTACCTTTATTTAAAGGGGCTGGAGTGATAGCACAGTGGTAGGGCGTTTGCCTTGTGCACAGCCAGCCCGGCCGAGCCGGGTTCGATTCCTCCGCCCCTCTTGGAGATCCTGGCAAGCTACCGAGAGTATTCAATATGCCAAACACAGTAGCAAAAAGTCTCGCAATGGAGATATTACTGGGCCCGCTCAAGCAAATTGATGAACAACGGGAGGACAGTACTAAAAAAGCAGTTAATACAGCTTGTCAACGAGGAGCTCCTACCTTTGTTGTAAAATTTTTGTTCCATGTGTGTCCAGATAGGATAGAGAAGAGCCCATGGACAGTGGGCTGCGGGTGGGCTGTAATTTGGGGAGGGGTGCGTGGGGAGAAATGCTCAGTAGATACTAAATGAGTGAAGGAAAGGCAAAGGGATGGCACTGAGGCTGTCGGAGGTCTCTGAGCCAAACAAATGTGGGTCTGAGTGCTGGCTGTCAACCATGTGGTACAGACCCGCATTTAATGTCTCCTGGAAAGAAAGTCTGTGCAGGGAGGCACTGGAGCTTTGGTACAACTGATGTTCGAGGGAGATGAACAAGATCTAGAGACAAGAGTGGACAGGTGTCCACTTCCCCTCTCTGAAATGCTGAACCTTTCTGCATCCACACTATTATTTTTCTTGGCAGCCCAAACACATGCTCACTGCAAGGGTTTTGCCTCTGCTTACCCGCTTATAGACTTCCCTTTGCACTTGAGAGTTGCAAATACTCCCTTTTGCCCCTGCCTTGCTTCAAAACACTCATCCAAACCCCGGGGAACCATGGAGCTTGGGGGAGGGCTCCATGCTTGCTGTGAGCTAAATATTTCATACCCGTTCCTGGTTCATGCCCAAGCACTGCACCCGCCCAGCTGTCTTCTGGGTCCCATGTCTTTCTCCACCTGGGAGCAAGCTCTAGGAACTAGTAATTGCAATGATTTCTTCCCTGGAGTGACCAGCAGCTTCCCTCCAGTCTCCTCAATGCCTTCTCTGCGTTTTTACCTTTGTGATACCACTCTTAGCCTGACCTGCCCTTCCTGAGATCCCGGCATCCCCACCACCATTCACACAATGGTTCAGTGACTTCTACAAATGGCTCCTTGTCACGACCTATGTGGTTTCCCTCTGTCCTTTGCTGTCCAGGGTGCACTGCCCTTTCTCCTCCCCAGCACTGACCTCTCACCTACCAAGAGGTGGCTCTTCCCTTAGGAGACTCTGCTCTTTCCTTCCATGCCAGTGGCCTTGATATTTCATTCCTGCCACTGTTTTTATTGTCCAGTTATTTGACATCAGTATACAGCTTTGCTTGGTTTGATTTGGTTCTCGGGGGCTACACCCAAGGGTGCTCAGGACTTACTCCTGCTCTGGGCTCAGGGATTAGTCTTGGCAGTACTCAGGGGACAATACGGGGTGCCTGGGATTGAACCTGGGTTGCTGAATGCATGGAAAGTGTCTTCTGCCACTGTACTATCTCTCTGGGTCCTTTTTAAAAATTATTATTATTTTTAAATGATGGTGAATATTTTCTTTTTGTTTGTTTGCTTTTGGGCTACACCTGGTGATGCTCTGAGGTTACTCCTAGGTCTGAATTCAAAAATTACTCCGGGTGGATCTTGGGTGACAACATGGGATATCGGGAATTAAAATGGGGTTGGCCACATGCAAGGCAAATAAGGATCTGTACTACTCCAACCCCTTATTATTATTATTTTTTTAACTGAGAATTATACCAGGTAGATTTGCTCCCCAAAGTCACACTATTCTCTGCAGCAAGACTCTTTGAGTATCAGATCACAAACATGGCTTCAATCAAACAAACATAGGGACAAGAAACATTAAGTATTGGCTTAGAAGCCCTGTGCATCGCTGGCTTAGGGGTGAGATGACGAAATGGTACAGCACTATCGGGGAGGAGTATGGAGCTTGTTCAAATAGTCAAACACTAAATTACTATAGAATCCAGCAACCCCACTTCAGGGGACAAACCCTTAAAATTAAAAACAGTCAAGAACAGAGCTATGGGGCTGGAGTGATAACACAGTGGGGTAGGGCGTTTGCCTTGCATGCAGCTGACCCAGGTTTGATTCCCAGCACCCCATATGGTCCCCGAAGCACTGCCAGGAGTAATTCCCGAGTGCAAAGCCAGGAGTAACCCCTGTGCATTGCCGGGTATGACCCAGAAAGCAAACAAAATCAAAATAAAAATTTAAAAAAATTAAAAGAGCAGAGCTATTAGATTGGAGAGCCTTGATATTAAATTCCTGATAGGGTTCCTCCTCTATTATAGAGCCTGTGACCCTGAATTGCATTTCACGGCCGCCTTTCCTGGTGCACCTGCAGACCAGGTGGCTTCGATCTGTTCAGCTCTCCCAGCCTGAAGGAATCTGGGCTCATCTGCAAAGTAGACCCAGTGGGTGGTGGCTGGCACTGTCTTTCCTCTTCCCCCAGGAGCAGCTGACAAACATGGGGGCACAGCTCAGCACTTCTTTCCGACAGTGCCCCTGTCAAAGCAGCCCGTGTTGTCTTACTGGCTGGGGCAGGACAACTGATGGAGCTCATCGTTCAACTCTCTTTCTCATATATTGGCCTGACAATGGAGCTCAACAGAGCCAAGATGAATATGAGTCTATTTTTGGCAACACCTCATGGAATTCCTGCACTGTGCTTTCTGTATCCTCAGGATACAAAGTGTATCTTCTGGCACAAGCAGAACTCTAAAGGCAACACTCGCATTGTGCAGCTGCCCAGGCCTGGCCAGGTGGCCGTGAACTCTTACTAGGAAGGCTGTGGGAGGTGGGGGAGTGGCCTGGACTCGGGGAGGCTGACTGTGCCACTTACCTTCACCCGATCCATGCATGCTTCCATCTTCAGCTGCTCCACAGCCTTCCTGGCTTGGGAGATGCTTGTGGTGCTGTTGTTGGACATACCCTCCTTCATCCTGCTGCCCCTGAAACAACCGAAATGAAAGGTTGGAAGGCTTGCTTTTTTTTTTTTTCCTTTTTGGGTCATACCTTGCAATGCACAGGGGTTACTCCTGGCTCTGCACTCAGGAATTACCCCGGTGGTTCTCAGGGGACCATATGGGATGCTGGGAACTGAACCCGGGTCGACCGCATGCAAGGTAAACGCCCTACCCACTGTGCTATTGCTCCAGCCCTGGAAGGGTTGCTTTTTCAGCGTCCATCAGGAGGTTGGCAAGGGAAGGGAAGGCAGAATGTTTCCCAGTTTTTTCTCCTTGCCCATTACCCCTCTGTCTAAACCTAAATGCACTGGGGGACAAACTGCTGGAAGAAGAGAAAGAAAGGCTTCCTCATTCTTTGGCTTGTGTTTGGAAAGACTAAGTCAACCCTGAGGAATGGTGTACAGGTCAACTGCTGACCTGAGGTTACTGTACTCCTCACCCACTGTACGTTAAAACCCTGGCATTAGCCCAGTGCTTGGCTAGTAATAAATCCTTTCAGATACATCTGTTCATTCCTTGCCCTAGTGGCCATAACAGTGGCAGAACAATCTTAATTTTAGTTCTGTAAGAAAACAAAGTATAAGCCCGGAGAATCACGCCAAGGGCCAAAGATCCCACAGCCAAAAGGTGTGAATCCAGAACCGAAACTCAAAGCTCGGAAGCTCCACTAAGGGTTCCTCCTCCCGTCTTGCCTGGCATCCCCCCAGCAAGCTTCAGTTTCAAAACACGTGTTTCCCATGAAGAAAGCTGCTTTTATCAGCAATTTTCATTTGATGTCATTCCAGAAAGCAGATAGACTTGACTATGGAAGTTTGTTTTTAAACAGCAGCAAGACACACATCTCCTAACTGCACATTTAATTTTCTAGAAAATAAATTATCCTTCACCTGGTGTATAAGATGGCAGTGGGCGGGGAAGAGATGGTTTTGATCTAATTCCTCCACAGTTACCCACGCAACAGTGGATACTGCAGTTACTCAGCCTCCGAGAAATGGCTAGCCAGTGCTTCGTCATTGCAGGTCTGTGAGTTAGGCGCGATGTTGCAGGAGACAAAGTCCAAGGGAGAGTGAGGGCCTGCTCAGGGGCTGGCCTGCCCCGCCACGACCTTTGCTTTCATCTCCAGGCTGAATATGATGGGAGGCATTTGGGGGTGTGTAAGACTGTAAGTGTTGGGGGTCAGGCTGGATACAAGACCGTTCATTCCTCAGTGTTGTGTTGAGTGCGGACAGTGTAGAGGGTTTCTGGCTGAATGGATCTCACAGGCCTTTTACGCAGCCTCCCTTTAATGACTGCGCTCCCGGAAGTATGCTGGCCGAGCGCTGCAGCGTCTCCCTGGAGAATGCCACAAAGGCAGCTATGGGGTGAATTTAGCCCCTCAGTCCACAGGGCTAGATCGGTGCTGAGGCTGGGCTGGCCTGAGATGCTGCTGAGGTGTTGGTGGAAGCTCCCCTTTCTCACACTGACTAGCGAACAAGAATGATTAACTCTCACACTGACTAGTGAACAAGGGCGATTAACTTGATGTTATGATTTTTCTCCTTGTAATAGTTGTTTCTTTGTTATGATGACTAGGATATCTCCCCCCACCCTTCACACACACACACACACACTCACACTCTCTCTCTCTCTCTCTCTCTCACATTCACGCGTGCATGCTCACATACACACACACACATACACACACAAGCTCAGTGTGGGCCATGCATGAGTACTCTGTTAGCTGTGTGTTCAGGCCCATTCTGGTTTAGTGCTTGCGGGGGTCACTGTTGTACCCACATAGGCACTCGCCAGGGGCTGCACTTCCCGGGCATGACGCTCGTGTATCTTTCAGTTGTGGGGTTCAGTGGGGTTGCCGTCCTTCATTCTTAATTCATGTTCACATATACCTGGCAGATGTGAGGCTGGAATTGTGATGTCGGGATCACAGAGAGCAGAGCTGCTAGGCCCGAGCTGGGGCATGAGGCAACTCAGGGAGTCGAACTCATGACCTCAGATTTGCAAGGCAGGTATGTGAAGCCACTGAACTGTTATTCCCCTGACTCATATTGCTTAATACTTTTCCTAAGAGGGAGCACATGGTGTGTGTGTGTGTGTGTGTGTGGGGAGGTGGGATCTGTAACCTAGACCGCATGAAGACCTTGCTGTGCTGTGGAGGGTGGGCAATAACTGCTGTGATAGGAAGAAACTGACTGTTGGGGACTTGACCACACCTGGAAGATCCTGATAACCCAGGTCCCACTCCTGCTGCTATCCTGAAAGAGCCCAGGGGGACTGTCCCCTTCCTTACCTTCTGAGAGGTGGTGCAGTGGCAGGGCCAGATGCGGGCAGGCGAGCAGCAGCAGCTGACAGTTGTCAGATGAGAGGCTGATTCAGGCTTCCTGCCTTGAGGTTCACCTGTAAACACCACCAGAGCAGGGTCATATGGTACCAGAGAGGGTGGGTGTCCCCCAGTGCCCCTCCTCGGTTCAGCGACCACATCCATAAGCTTGGGGACTCATGTATCAGACTCCAGGGGAGATGAAAAGCAAAGGCTGAAAAAGCATCTGCAACAGGGAACTATCTCTGACCATCCTGGGCTTGCCCCAACCTGTATGCCCGATCCCCACGTATCTGCCAAGCAGAAAGCCAAACTATTCAGATCCATCCATCCTTTTCCTTCCTTCCTTCCTTCCTTCCTTCCTTCCTTCCTTCCTTCCCTCCCTCCCTCCCTCCCTCCCTCCCTCCCTCCCTCCTTCCTTCCTTCCTTCCTTCCTTCCTTCCTTCCTTCCTTCCTTCCCTCCCTCTCTTTCTTTCTTTCCCCCTCCCTCTCTTTCTCCCTTCCTTCCCTTCTTCCCCTACCCCTTCTCCTTCCCTCCTCCCTCTCTCCCCCTGTCTTCCTTTCTTCTTTTTCTGGGTTTACCCCCCAGAGCCACACTTGGAGGTACTCCAGTGCTTACTGCTGTCTCTGTGTTCAGGGCTCACTTCTGGCGGGGTTCAGGGGACCATATGTGGTGTGGGGGATCAAACCTGAGTCAGGTGTGTGCAAGGCAAGCGCCCTGCTGACTGTACTATCTCTCTGGCTTTAAAAAGTGTATGTCCACTGAAGAAAAGAGTTCAAGAAATTTTTTAAAAATAATAAAAAACAGAGTAATTAAAACACCCCCAGAAATAATGGTGTTGGCACAAACTAATCATATCTTTTTAGAAATAATCTGATTTTAACCAAAGAATATTTTATCACAGAAGAGATGATTTACACCAATGCCTTTAAAGGCGTCTCTGGAGCCTTGTTTCTCCAATGAGAGGCAAATACACAGGCGCCTTCCTGGTGCAGAGACGCTGGAGGGGCGGAGAGCATGGTTTCTGGGGAGCATGGGTTCTTTCCACACAGAGCTTACCCTGCAGCCCTTCTCTCCCAGGGATCCCAAGGAATTTGTGTGAAAATGAAAACCAACAAGACTGGGCTGACATCCCTGTATGTGTCCCAGACTGGGCTGGTTTAACTGTCATGGCAGAAGGTAGATCAGAGGCATTTTTGTCTTGTTTTGTTTTGTTTTGGGGCCATATCTGACTATGTTCAGGGCTTACTCCTGGCTCTGTGCTCAGGACTATCTACTGAGCAGGGCTCTACAATGTGCTGGGGTATCAAACCACGAAAACTTCGTGCAGGCAAGCACCCTAGCTGCTGTACACACTATCTTTGTTGGGGAAGGTTGGAAGCTGCATGTTTTTGCACCACTGCATGGCAGCCACTTCCAATGGACTAGTCCTTCTTCCTGCCAGTAACTCAGTGCATCTGGATACTTCCCACCCCCCAAAGCAGTTAGACTTTATTACAGTCTTAGCCTAATCTCCTTCCAAGTTTTTTTTAATCCTTCTATTAGAAAATCCTTTTAGATGTCCTATTAAAAAACTCATTTCTTTCTACATGAAAAGCAAATAGTGCTGAAAACGCCTGAGTTCTGTTCTCCACTCACTGATGTTACACACATGGTCTGGACAGTCTCAGGCTGCTGTAGGGGCACCCGTGGGGGCTGACTGTGGATGCTGGTGAACCATAACAGGTCCTCCACCTTGGGTTATCTTTTCCCTGTCCCGAAGAGACAAGAACTGGAGAAAAGGTTTACTGGGCCAGAAGCTGGGTGCACATGGCAGAGCCTAAACCCTGACCTCCCAAGAAAGTGCTTTGAAGCCTGCCTTTCCAGCTGACAGGAACTCTGGGCAGGAGGGAGGGGGCAACCAGAGCAGTCCCCGTCAGCCCCCTCACCCCAGACGCCATCCTGCACCTAAACTGGCTATCTAGTCTCTGTTCTCTTGTTCTCTACCCCCACCATCTTTATTCTTTATTGTGGGTTTTGTGTGTGTGTGTGTCACACTCGGTGATGCACAGGGGCTACTCCTGGCTCATACACTGAGAAATTACTACTGGCTGTGCTTGAGGGACCATATGGGATGCTGGGAATTGAACCCAGGTTGGCCGCATGCAAGGCAAACGCCCTACCCGCTGTGCTATCACTCCAGCCCCCTATTGTGGTTATTTCTGCAGCCATGGAAACCAGACCCTCGGACAGGAAAGCAAACGTCTGACCACTGAACAACACCCCCACAACACCATCCCCATTCCTAGCAGAAAGGCTGACTTCTGCTGTGTGTCCCGCAGTGCGAAGGCAACAGCAAGGGGACACCCAACCGACATTTTGCAACCAATGCTGAGAAGAGGCTGACTAGGAGAGAGCCAGAAAAACACAGAGGTGATGCTGACATCAACCAAAACCAGTACCACCAACACCAGCTTCAACGGGCCTGGGTCTCAGTGCTCATTCCAGGGGATTCAGACCTCACAGTTGTTCCCAGTATTGCTCCAGCTCAGTGTTTCTCAGATGTGGCTGAGCATCCAAGTCATGGGGACAGGTGGATTAAAGACAAGGAGCCTAGGTGGATCCCTGCCCACCCCCACCCCCACCCCCATCCCGCCCACATAACTTAAGGCCCATGTGTCTGTCTATGGTGCTTCATCTTCCCAGGTGATTGCCAATCACCACTCAGTCTGTTTCGGTTGGTGTGTCCCAAACTAGGATGCGTGTGTGTCTTGCCAAGATCTGGCATTTTTATTCAACTGATCCTGACAGAGCACACGGAGGGAACGAGTGGCAGCTGCCCTGGGAGGAGCTGCTGGAGATACAGAACCTCAGAGCACCTGCACTTTGCCTGGGTGATTCGTGTGATCATCGGAGTTGGAGAAGCCCGAGGCTGGGCCGAAAGTTTGGTATCACTTCACACAGGGATCTAAGCCCAAGACGAGGAGTGGAAGGTGGGGTTTAACAAGATTTGGGGGGCAGAGGGATTCTAATACTCAGGAGAGACCAAAGACTGAGTCCTAGGGAAGAAGAGAGAAACCAAGAGTAAAGAACAGGTATTGCTGAAAATCCACAACTGAGCTGCCTGGTCTCAGAGGGTAAGAGAAACAGTCTGCACGTGTGTGTGTGTGTGTGTGTGTTGGGGGAAAGGTTGGGCCCCACTTCCTGGTGTTCAGGACTTACTCCTGCCTCTGTGCTCAGCGATCACCCCTGGCACGGTGCTCAGGGATCATATGCAGTGCTGGAGATCAAATCAGTGTTGACTGTGTACAAGGCAAGAGCCTTAACCTTTGCACTATCCAGCCCCATTTCGGAGATGGTTTGTTTTGGGGCTACACCCAGCAGTGCTCAGGGCTTATTCCTGCCTCTACACTTAGGGATCACTCCTGGCGGGGCTCAGGGGACCATATGGGATGCTGGGGATCTAACCTGGGTCAGTGGTGTGCAAGGCAAGTGCCTTACTGGTCCCTTGTTTTATTTATTTTTAAATTTTTATTTTTTGCTTTTTGGGTCACACCTGGCAATGCACAGGGGTTACTCCTGGCTCAAACACTCAGGAATTACTCCTGCCGGTGCTCAGGGGACCATATGGGATGCTGGGAATCAAACCCCGGTCAGCCGCGTTCAAGGCAAATGCCCTACCTGCTGTGCTATTGCTTCAACCCCTTGTTTTATTTTTAACTGAGAATTACATCAAGTGGATTTGCAGGAAAAGAAAATCTGCTTCTACCTAGTGAGGAGAATGGATCAGAGGTGAACCAGAGAAGCAAGCAGACACGTTAGGAAGTGCCAAGGCCTGACAAGACACTCACTGTGAAAAGCAGAGCTCTGGTGGCAAGTGGGGTGGACCTTGTGGAGAAGCCTTGAGACGGAGTGAGGGGAGAGGGTGAGATTGGACCTGAGTGTTGAGGGCCCTGTGGAAGGTGGACATGTACAAGCACCAGGCTGAGGGAGAGAAGCAGGTTTGCAGAGGTGTGCAATTAGTTCCTGGGGAGAGAAGCAAGTTGAATTTCTGGTGTCTTTAGGATGGTGTAAAGGGGGATGCAGCTCAGCAGGGAGACTGAGAGGAAGACAAAGGCTTTGCGACTCAGGACCTACAGGACGGAGCAGAAGTCTGTGTCATGAAAGATCTCAGAACTGTGAGCAAGGCAGAAGGGGGCTGAGCTCAGAGCCTTGTCCAGACCAGTGTGGTGGAGCCGGCCAGGCAGAGGGAGGACGTTCCATGCTCACCACTAGTTGGTTTGCTCTTCTGTGCCCCTTCGGACCTGGAGAGGTTAAGAACTCCAGGAACCGTAAAACCATTTATTCTTTACATCGAATGGCACAAAGTTGCCAGGTTGCTCCTGCGTCTGCCTAGGGTGGAGTTTCACGGAACAGGGGAGCGACAACTGTCTTCATACTCTCAGGCGGTGCTGAGGGTCTTACACGCACCTGGGGATACCCCTGACACTGGAGAAAAGGTGGTGCCTATACTCAGAAAACACTATCTGCAGGACTGGAACACAGTACGGTGAGTAGGGCTCTTGCCTTGTACAACAGCTGACCTGGGTTCAACCTCCGATACCATATATGATCCCCTGAATCAGAGATCCTTGCCAGGAGGGATCTCCGAGCGCAGAGCAGGAGTGAATCTTGAGCACTGCTGGAGGTGGCCCAAAAAAAAAAGGAAAAAAAGGAGGAAAAAAGAGATGAAAGAAGGAGAAAGAAGAAAAAGTAAATGGAAGGGAGGGAGGGAGGGAGGGAGGGAAGAAAGAAGGGAGGAAGGGAGGAATGAAGGAAGGCAGGAAGGGAGGGAGGGAGGGAGGGAGGAAAGAAGGGAGGAAGGAAGGGAGGAATGAAGGAAGGCAGGAAGGAAGGGAGGGAGGGAGGGAGGAAAGAAGGGAGGAAGGAAGGGAGGAATGAAGGAAGGCAGGAAGGACGGGAGGGAGGGAGGGAGGGAGGAAAGAAGGGAGGAAGGAAGGGAGGAATGAAGGAAGGCAGGAAGGAAGAGGAAGGAAGGAAGAAGGAAGGAGAAAGGAAGAAGGGATGGAGGAAGGGAGGGAGGGAGGGAGGGAGGAA